AGTGCTACCATGTAAGTTGACCAACAGCTTGAAGACAGTCTAAAAAGATCACTTTTTGTACAGTGAGACCTTTTCTCTTGCTTTTAATGAGTGGAGATCCTTTATCTTGTAGAACACTATCCTGCATCCTTCGGATGTCTTAGCAACTAGATTCTCCAGAGTATCTCCAGAATAAGAAAGCTTATTCTGTGTGTTCATACCCACATTCCGTTCCTAAATCCATTCTCATCTCTCTCTAGGCTCTTAAACTAAAATCCTCCCTCTCCTATTTAGGGGGAAACTAATGCCCAACCTGCTTCCATCTGGAGCTGACTTCTTTGGGTTTTCTCATCCAACCATCCACAACCTGATCCAGAGTTGTCCAGGAGCTCGAAAATGCGTCAAGTAAGTGTGGTCGGATCCCTTGAGAGAAGCTCTGTGATTGGCAGGCCAGGGACCTAAATCGTTTTGCTCATTCACATAATTATTAAGCTGCTTCTGTGTGCAAGGCATGATCCTCTTAACCCTCTGGACAGGGGAACAGGAGCCAGCACCCCATGTTACCATAATTATCATCATTTTCCGTGTGTACCGTGACAGCAAAAGAGTTGGGAAGTCCTACAGAATAATGTGTTACTAAAAAAAGCCTGTCTATCTTCTTTTAGTTTTTTTGGTTAGTTAATATGTTTTTTAGAGTTATGGGAGAGATCTACAGAAAAAATACCTAATCCCTTTGGAGGTAAGAATGGGTTATTATGACCAACAGATAGCTCTCAGTGATGATTCCCTTTGATCTGCAGTTACCAATGGGTGAAATTTGATGTGTGCAAACCTGGAGATGGGCAGCTACCCCAAGGACTGCCGGAGAATGATGCAACTATAAGCTTTGAAGCTTTTCAGAGACAGACCTTTGATGAAGATAATGATCCCATTCTACAAGGTATCTTTTAATTTTACCTTTCTGGTTTGAAAATTGACCATTTTAGGCTAACCCTCCCCTCTTCAGTCATAGCTGAGTACCCCAAATATCTGAGCAGTAAGTGATATAAGCTTTCATTGTTCCAATCATGGAGAGTCCTGAGTCGGGAGGATCTGTCACCCTACGTAGCTCTCCAGCAGTCGTCACAGAGGTCACAGGGAGCATCTGTGGTCATAGAAAGGCAGGGCGCACCGAGAAACTAGGGTTTCTCATTTTCTACCTAAGTAAGACCTAAGCAGAACTCCAGGGGAGAGCTGACCGTGTAGGACTAAAATTTCAAATGAGGTAAAGGGGGTCAGGTCATGGCCTTGGTCGTGCCTATGTTCCATGGCTTCCCTCCCACAGATGGGTGGAGTGATCAGGGGATCCAGCACTGGGGTCATATAGGGAGAGCTCTGGGCTGTAAATAAGAAAACAGAATTAAAATTCTCACTCTTTACCTAATATACTATATAACCCTGGGCAAGTCACTTAATCTGTTTCCACCAGTTTTCTTCATTGTAATAGTAAGTATCTGTTCTGTCTTACCAAACAAGGGCAGAATTGGCTGACAGATGCAAGGGTGTTAAGGAGTTGAAAGAACATATGTGTCTGGTCAGTCTCCTGAGACTCCCAGGCAGCACTGCAACTTAAGGAATTCTTTTCCCCAGGATCCCTGGACCTCCCAGAGCTTCAGCCTACAGCCTTTGTGTCTTCTTACCAGCCCATGTTCCTGACACACGAATCTTTGGTAGATACTCACCTACAGCACTTGAAGTCTCCATCGCAGTGTAGCCCAACTCAGTCTTCAGACTGAACAAGAAGGGATCAGATACCACATCATTTTCATCATGATGAATTTTTTAACTTAAACTAAAACTTAGAATATATGGACGAAGGCAGCAGTTCAGGAGTGAAGATGTTAAATTAACACCTTTTGCCGTGGAGTTCCTGTGGTGACAGTTTTCCCTGAGAAAAACTTCAGCTGCTTTATTTTTAGTAATAAATTTCTCTTGACAATTCTGCTTATTTTCATCTTGTTGTAATCAAAATATAATCTTTTGTGCTTAGCTCTGCCTGAGGTAAACTTAAGTCCTTTATAAACCAGAGTGAACGATGGCTGCTGCCTCGTGAAGGATGCATGTGGTAAGAGTCTGACAACCTTCTACCCTTGATTCTGATTCTAGTTCACGGAATATTAAGTCCCAGCCCCCGCAACCCAGGCTGCTGCTGGTTTTCATGTGAGTGTCATCAGAATCACATCCTGCTTATCCCTAAGCTTGCGAGTCCAGTCCACAGCACGCTGTTCATCTTTTTCTTCACGCTTCACACATCCTTCAAGGAGATCGAAAAGCCCTGTTTCACCCTTTCTATATCCTCTTTGTGGTTCCTTATTGGAGAATGTTCTTTTAGCTAAATACATTGTAACCACATGATAACACAAATTTAGATATGATTGGGGATTGGTTCCCATCCTCCAAAACAGAGTCACCCCATCATTTCATTAACTGTGTAATAACTCCACATTCAATGCAACTAAATTGTTTGGACCCTGCTTATGGCATTAAGGTGGAGGTTTACTGCATCACCTAACCTGACCACTCCACAGCACCTGGTTGGATGGGCAGTGAGGGCATAGTACCAGGTACCAGGGCTGGCTGGAATGGGCAGGAACAAACGGACCCCAGAAGAAGAAAGGGGAAGGAGTGGTGAGAACTGGATTGTTATTGTGCTACACTTCATAACTGCTAATTGGGGAGAACACAAATATGATTAGCATTTTATAGAAATAAATCTGAACAGCAGACAGAGGGGATCAGACAATAGCATTTAGAGCACACTACACCAGCCACTACAAAGTATCAAAAACTAAAGAGCATTAATTTTTTGATTCTTAATTACAGTCTTTTTATATTTGGTATAACTTTACATTGCAAAAAAATAATCTATTAAAATTTGGATAAAAGCAAATCGGGTGGAAAGGGGATTACTCAAAGCTGTTAATGTTTTAATGTTTTTCTTTGGTCTTTTTTCCTCTTTTTTTTTTTTTCCCCTCTCTCTTTCTTTTCTCTTTTTTCTTATAAGTTGCCTGAACATATTTGCACTTATAGAGAAATGATATATGCTGCTTTTATCATAAAGCAAATATCTTTCCGTTCTGTTACAGCCTGAGTAAAACACTTATTAAAAGAGAGCCTTTAAATAAGTTAGTGTGCTGTTTAATAAGAGTATTCACTTTGTAACTTTCCAGAACAGTGTTTTTCAAACTACAGATCTCAACCCATTAGTTGTTCTTACACTTAGGGAGTCAAGACCTACATCTTTTAAAATTAAATAGAGGGCCGGCGCCATGGCTTAGCGGTTAAGTGCACACGCTCCGCTACTGGCAGCCCGGGTTTGGATCCCGGGCGCACACCAACGCACCGCTTCTCCAGCCATGCTGAGGCCACGTCCCACATAGAGCAACTAGAAGGATATGCAACTATGACACAACTATCTACTGGGGCTTTGGGGGAGAAAAAGGAGGAGGATTGGCAATAGATGTTAGCTCAGAGCCGGTCTTCCTCAGCAAAAAAGAAGAGGATTAGCATGGATGTTAGCTCAGGGCTGATCTTCCTCACAAAAAATAAATTAATTAATTTAAATTAAATTAAATAGAGAATTAGCACATACTGGAATGCATCGCATGTTGAAAGGCTGAAACTTTGGTTTCAACTATAGTGTGTATATGTATTTATATAAATATCACACATGCATACACATGTATGGGGATACATGGAATAATAAAAATGTTTTTACTATGGATCATCATTTTTAAAAACTTGAAAAACAGTGCCCTCATATACTTAAAATATCTTTTCATCTACTGGATTGTAAAAGGTCTTTTAAATTTGACATCCAGTGTCCATGAGAATGAGGGAAAAAATGGAACTATACCTTGGTGGGAATGTAAACTGTTGAACCCTTTGGGAGGGTTAAGCTGTAGATAATCAAAATTTTAAACATATTTTTCCTTAAACATGTTATTCCACATTAAGGACCCTAAGGAAATAAGTGTGGTATGATGTTTGCAGCAGGTAATAGTTATCACGGTATTAGTTTTATAGTGAAAAATTGGAAAAAACCTGTATGTCTACTAAGGGGAAATTGGTTAAAGTAAGTATGGGTCCCACAAACTGAAACACTAAATCTATAGTCAATTGACACAGGAAAATTATTGTGCTAGAATAAGTCAAAAACACAGATTACAAAATATACCACGTAGTGTGTAAAATATAACCCAAACAAATCAAGTGACTGTTCACCAAAATATTGTGTTTCTCTCCAAATTATGAATTTGGGGGTGGTTTTTACTTGCTTATACTTTTTTGTTAGCATCCAAATGTTCTACAGTGATTATAAATTTCATTTTTCAAACCATAAGAAGTTATTTTCATTTGGGAAATAAACTGCATTACCACAGAATGTTTTAAATTATTCAACCATTAAAAATAAATTAAGATTCACGTGCCTCCATTAATATATCCACTACCTAAGCCTAATTTTTTACACTGTGTGCACCAGGTTACTGGGGTGAAAGGAACCCGAGCTTCTTGGCTATCGCTAGCTGCCTCCAAATTAGACCAGCCCCTAGTGTGTGTGTATTGGGGATGGGAAGGGGTAGATGGGTAAATTTACTTTTTCTTAGGAGTCTGTTACTAGGTTCATGGTTCCCATTAGGCCAGATGCATAACAGGTCAAAGTATGGGTGTTAGGAGTTAATGGTACTAGGAAGGCCTCAGAGGAGCCCAAGTTCCTTGCAGACTGCATAGTTGTTTTGGTTTTTTACTAAATAAAATGCTGACACTGACAAAGCTATTCCTGCTGTTTGGAGCTACACCAGGACGATTTGGAGGACAGGTGTGGCGAGAAAGATGCTTACTGCTTTAGTTCTCATTTTTCACATTAAGGGAATGAAAGCTACTCATAGGTAACAGTCTTACTCCCTTCTCACGCTTCAAAAGACAATTTACAAGCTCATTCCTAACCCAATTTTGACTGGATATAAATGTGTACATGCCACTAATGATTATACCTTTATTTCCAACTTCTGATAACCACAATTATCAAGTGCCATCAGCTGTTTTTAATCAACCAATCAACAGCATTATGATTCTTAAGAGTAAACACACAAGCCCTCTTTCACATTTGCCCCATCTGGATTACTTTTCTAAATGCTTATCATGTAGCTTTACTTTCAGCCTCACTTTTTTCTTCCATCTGGATTATCCTTTTTATATTTAAACCTCTTAACTTTAAAGAGCCTGAGATTCATATTTAACTCTAATGAACTGTTCGCCTCTCAGTGACCTCCACTGTCATGTGTTCCTAAGCCTGTGATTCCCCCACTCCTGCTCTGGGTAGCCTGAGGGCCTTCCTGGGCTACCACCGCCTCACTCTTTCTCTTCATTTCTTAAGGCAGTCCCTCAGCACCTCCCCAGATGCCTGCACAGGGTTCTGGTTGGTTTGTTTTCAACATTCACATTTTCATCATTTGGACTGACGGAACAGAATTGTTTTGGGCTTAGAGAGAACACAAATAGGGCTATCTTCAGTTATCTGAAAGACAGTTGGGTAGTGGAAGAAAGATTTCAGTTCCAGATAAGGAAAAACTGTTGGGAAGTTTAGAATGGAAACCTTATACAGATAATAACCACTTGTCAGATTTTGTAAAGAACACATAAACACCACCTGGCTTACATAGCCTTGAAATCTCTTCCAGTCCTGAGTTTCCACAATTCTGGATGTAAGAGACAAAAGTGTTAGACACTGCACTCCCAATAATGAAGAAAGTGAATGACACTGAGGTTCAATTTGTTTGTGGTTTGGAATTAGTCCGATACAGACACCTAGACCAACCAGGGGACAAAAAGTAATCATCCCATTTACCTATCAGCCCTGGATCATCTCAGAATACAGAAACAGCCATGTGCTAGCTGGGAGCTGTCCAATGAGACCTTTGTATTAATTTCCTTTAAAAGCAATAGTTGTCATCATTTAAACTCCTAAATGCCCAAATCTAAAGAATCCACACTATGTCTAAGATATGATCATACTGCAGCTAAATCATTTTGCAACCTTGCTATGATTTCCAGGAATCTGATTTGTAATGACAGCAATGAAGGGAGGAGCTGGCAGGGTACTGGTGGGGTGGTATAGAGGACACTGTTTATATTCACAAGGCCATGTGGCCCAGGCATAGCGAACAGCAACCAGAGTGTCATGACAAGAACTGATATTCAGGGCCAGGGTCTGGGTGGAGAAAGTGTTCATAAGAGCTGGAAGCCACTTGCATTGACGGTTCTCGCAACATGAGATCTATTAAGAGAGCATAAAACAGGAACGGTTAGGTGAGTTAGTAGGATATTCCAAGAGACTGGGAACTGCTCTTTCAGGCAGACTAGAAGAGGGGAAAGGAGCCATTCTTAGCCAAGGACCATTTCCTACAACAATCAGAACAAACCTGAGTACAGGTCAGCACAGCCACAGGTTGATAATAAAGGTTCATGAGATAAAATAAATAACTTAAATCAATCAATAAAACATTAAGTTACTGAGGAAGACAAGGAAGCATAACCACATAAAGCATGTAGAGAAGGCCTCCCTGAACATTCGCGCTGCGACCACTCCCGCCAAGCGGCAGCGCGGGCAGAGATCGCGTGAGGAAGCAATCCGGGGCTGCTACTACTCTTTGGCGCTCCCAAGGGAGCTGAGGAAAGGAGGGGCACAAAGGAACTTTTGGTAATAAGCCTTTCTCAAGTCAGAAAGCAATTCAGGGAAGGGAACATAAATTATCCAGTACCCAAAGGTTAAATTCTGTCCTGACCCCAACTATGATTCGGGGTCCATATGATCGGCAGACTGCCAGCAACTGACTGAAGAAGAGAACGCAGAATGCAGAGACTTCTTGGGAGCTGGAATTCACCTACCACCAGCGTCTAAAGAAGCTAGGTGGGGTAAGCGCTGACCAAGCACCTGAGGCAAGCAGATACAGTAGTCAGGATTCCAGAGGAGGAGCAGCCCTAGATGAACTCCTGTGCAATTAAATTTCTCTTTCATAATCTTTCAGCTCCTCCAATGCCCTCTTTTCACACATCCTTCCCCCCACCCCCTCCACTAACAGCCTCATGATTCCCAAAGACACTCATTTAAATGTTCCATCTAGGAACGCCTCCACCCCCACCCCCAACTATAGAGACTGCTATAACCTCTTTAATCAATAGCCCAGTTCCACAGTAGAATGATCCTTGCTAGGTATTAAAAGAAAGTAGTTTCATTACATTAATTCACACTAAGCAACAAATCACCAAGCTTAAGCCTCTCAAAAGAAACAATTAAACTCAAAAGGATATCAGAATTCAAGATAGCACAACAAAAGAGACACCCAAGGATGAGGGAAGTGTTCTGCAGCAAGGATCCTCTCAATAGGTAACCTACAAATAAAGCTGCAGGCCCTTCCCAGAGCAAAGATTTCATATTTTCTGGGAGGGAAAATATGAAAGGAGTATCATTTTAATATGGACTCATTTTCCCTTCCTTGATTGTCCTGTCTATCAAAATTGCCTCTAAGCAAATGAATTAATAGCTGCTTCTTTTACCCCTCTGAGATAAACTCAGACCCCACCAACCAACACCTGCCCCACAGTAAAGCTATAATTAAAGAGATGGGCTTCAGTGTGGAGGAAATCCTGACTCACAACACAGGATGAACCCATATTGATTCTGCTCTTCTTCTCACCTCAAATGTCTTGTCGTCCTGCCTCTGCACATGGATTTGCTGGGAATATGTGAGGTTGAGCAGCCCCTTGTCAGCCAAGAGTTCTATCTTCTCAGGCAGTGGTCCTTGAAAGATCAGCTTCTTCTCACCATAAGCCACAGCACGGGCCCCCAAATGCAGCCTATAGGCCACAGTCTGTTTATCTCGAGCGTGGATGCTACAGGACAAAGAACAAGGACAGAACTTTGGGTTTGAGTTCAATAATAACCACACTTTTTTAAAAAAATGAAATATTATATAAAATACGCTTTAAGAAGGAGAGAACAAAGTTGACTGAACCTAATAGCCAGTGATCGGTAGCTAGTTAGTTTAAGAGAAATGGTGAATGGTAACCATAGATGGAACTCTGGGCCTTCTATGGGTTGGAAATCTTGAGATAACAGATGACCTGGATGGAGGGAACAGAGGGAGGGAGGGAGGGAGGGAGGGAAGGCATTCAAACTACCTAGGAGAGGTAACTCATAAGACTATTCCAACCTCTAAAAGTCCTGTGTTCCATTTGAATCAGCTGTTCATTATTTGGTCCCCTCCAGCTTTTATTCGTTCATTCAATAAATATTCATTCATTCAAAAATAAAGAAATATTTATGTATTCAAGATCCTACTATAATCCAGACACTATGTATTAGGATCCATTTCACATTTGAAATCCCCTTATATCCTATAGCTAATATGTGGTAGTCATCAGGGCAGTTCACAAATATTCCATTACTCCTCCTCTGAGTCCACGGTAGAGGAAGGTAGGCATAGCCATATGCTTTGCTTTGGGTAATGCAATGTAAACAGAAGTGTCTCACGTTGCTTCTAGGTGGAAGCATTTAATTGCCAGTGTGAGACTTGAAGGTGACTGCAGAAGCACAGACTGTGAAGCCTCTGTCACTCTGGATCTGTGAATGGCTATGATGAGCAGAGCCTCTCTGTTGACCTTCTTTGGACATGTAGTGTGAACAAGAAATAAATTTTTGTTACATCAAGGCACTGAAATGTTGAGGGTTTTTTTTGTTACTGCAGCACATCCCAGCATAAATGACTGATAGATAATGCTTCTAAGGGCCAATCCTTAGACCACCTACTCTCTGCTCCCTCACAAGTGAACATCAGAATGAAGCCTATAAAGGACATATAATGTTCAAGCAAAGTCCAAGAAGCAACCATACCTGCCAAAAGGTGAGTTCCTATCACCGAGATCCATAGCTACAGCCATGAAAGTGTTGGGCATCCTTAGGTTGGGAACATAGCCAAAGTCTGCTGTTTGATGCCAACGGATCTGGGGAAATTTATCATCTGAGGTTGCAGACAAATATGAAGATAACTGGAAAGTAGAGAGATTGTTACATCAGAATTTTATTGCATCAGAATCCTACACTGGAGTCTTTTTCACAAGCAGACCCCGCTTCTGCTTCACTCATTTGTTCAAATGTTCATTCAACAAGTATTTACTGAGCTTCTTACTGGTGTGACTGAATCCCTCTCATCCCACATGACACAATGTAACCTTGCCACGCCTCTCATCAAGAGGTGGAGTCTATTTCTTCTCCCATTGAATCTAGGCTAAGCCTGTGATTTTCTCTGACCAACAGAATGCAGCAGAAGTGATGCTGTGCAGCTTCTGAGTCTTTGCCTTGAGAGCTCTTGCCTTCTGATTTCATTCTCTTGGAACACTGAGATGGCCATGTAAAAAAAGCCCAGCTACCTTGCTGAAGAAATTATGTGGAGAGAGGGGCCTTAGAAATTAGAATATCATGAGGAGAGAGAGGTGCCAACATCCAATTTCAAACTGCAGCCACAAGAGCAAGCTCCGCTGATATCGCATAGAGCAGAGATGAGCCATCCCAGTTAAGCCCTGCCTGGCCAACCCATGGAATCATAAGCAAATAAAATGGCAGCTGTTTTAAGCCACTAAGTTTTATACAAAGCCATAGTTAGCTGATACATCTGTGTACAACACAGGGCTAGGTACTATAAGGAAGCAGAGAGAAATCTGCCCTTGAGCACGTGGTAACTTGCATCAAAGACCCCAATTCTTCACACCTTCCTATATCCACACCCTCCTGCCATATGGCTTTGTGGTTTCTCCCATTGAGAAAAAGAGTATATTTCCCTACCACTTGATTCTGAGCTCAGCCATGTGGTTTGATTTGGTCAACAGACTGAAACAGAAGTCATGGTATGTCAATTCCTAGCCTAGGCCTCAAGAGACCTCGTGTGGTTCCACTTGCTCTTTTGCATTTCTGCTATCACCATGCGAATGACATGCCTAGGCTAGCCCACTACTCTCCGGAGAAGAAGGAAAGCTGTGGAACAGAGCTGTCTCATCTAATCTACTCCAGCCAAGCCTAGACTGGAGCAGAGCCCCCCAGCTGACCCACAGAGATTTGGAAGAGCCCAGTGGAGCTCAGCCAAGGTCACTCAACCCCAGCTACCCAGGCATGTGAGCTATAACAATAAATATTATTTTAAGTCATGGAGTTTTGAGGTGGTTTGTTATACAGCAGTAGCTAACTGGTATAAGTACTTCAGTTTGTTGAGGGGACAGACCTGCACATATGAAATGTTAATAAACACAGTATAAAATAGTATGGATTACATGCTCTACTGGTGGCACAGACAGCAAGTGCTCTACATTTAGAAGAGACAAAGTTTATTATTATAAGACAACATGGCCTTAGAATATGTAAAAAAATTTGGATGGGCACAGAAAATATGAGAAGTCACTACAAATAGGATGCTCATATTTCACATGTTAGAACCTTATAAGATGCAAAGGTAGGAAGGAGAAAGGGAGCTTTGAGAGAGCAATATAGCTGGACTGGAGGATTTATGCAGTGGAAAGATAGTGAGGCAAGTGTTTGGATAGAGTTTATACTTTATTCTATAAACAATAGGGAACCATTGTGAATGTACTAAATGCCACTGAATTGATACCTTAAAATGGCTAATTTTATATTACGTGAATTTCACCTCAATTTAAAAATTAGAGAGCCACTGAAATTACTGACATGATAAAAGGACTATTTCAAAAGATCAATCTAGTGATCATGTAAATGGTTCTGTGAAGAAACAAGACTGAAAGCAGAGAGACTGATTAATTACAAAGCTACTATAATATTCTAGACACAAAAAAGAAAGGTCTAACCTGGAAGTTTTGTAGTGGGAACGAGACAGTTAGAAATAAGATAATCTAAAAACAAACCGACACAACCAGGCAACCCACTGGATATGGAACACAAGAGAAAGGGTAATATCCAATATTCAGATTCTATAACATCTGAATTATCTGCTTGGGATTTTGCAGATGCTAGTAAGGTCCTTTATCAGTTGACTTCCAGGTAACCAAAAGGAAGAGTATGATGGTGAGCCCGACCCAGTCAGGTAAGCCCTTTTAAAGAGGGTCTAGAAGACAGAGACCTCTCACCTGCTGGCCTTCAAGAAGTCAGTTGCCACGAGTTCTACAGCTTCAAGGAAATAAATTCTGCCAACAGCCACGTGACCTTGGAGAAAACCCCAAGCCACCTTCACTGCAGCCCTGAGCAGAGGACTCAACTAAGGCATGCATGCCCCAACTCCTCACCCATGGAAACTGTGAGATAAAAAATGTGTGTGGTATTGTTTCAAGCCAATAAATATGCAGTAACTTGTTATGTAGCAATAGAAAACTAATATACTAGGGAAAGAACTTTCCAGGAAGAAGGAAAAGAAAATGGCAGGCCCTAGGGAGGGAGTATGCCTATTGTGCTTAAAGAAAGCAAGGCAGTCAGTGCAGCTGAAGTGGAGTAAGCAAGGCAAAGAAAATTAGGAGATGAGGTCACAGGGGTAATGGAGGCAGGGCAGACCATGTACCGCCTTGTTGATCTCAGTCATACGCAGGAAACACTGGAGCCTTCTGATACGACGTAGTAATACTAAAAACATTTAATATTACTACAGTGCATGTGGTCCCACTATTTCTTCCTTACTTACTTCTCTGACGTTTATATCACCCTGTTCTCTGACTTAGCACCTATTCTTAGCCCTAGTGCCAGCCAATGAGAGGCATCAACCTATTATCTCTCTTTTACAAACTACGATCTTAAAGTAAGTCAAATTGCAAACTGGGAAACAGCCTGGGCAAGCAACCACATTGTCTTTGAACTCCATTTCAAAATTTCTGTCCCCATGAGAGGAGCTGCACTCTGAGTAGTCTGTTCCTTCTAGTCTTATTACTCTCATAGCCCAGGAAATACCTGAGATCCTCCCTGCAAATGTGGCCAAATGAAGCTTTGGATAGAAGAAGTTTTCTGCTTCTTGAGTTGTTCCAGAAAGACTAGAAAATCATCAGGAAAACACTGGAAAGGTCGCAATAGTAGCAGAAAGAATGTGGAATGAAGGATGTGATATGGAACTAAGGGGACATTTCCAATTCTCTTATTAAAATCTCTTATGCAAATTTATTTTAACATATGAAATGATAAAAGGTGCTGAAACTTCACAATGGAATCTCATGAAAACTAGAAAACAGGACTAGAAAGATCCAGTGATCTTCTTCCCACACTACCAGAAGAATGGAGGTGGAACCATGCTCACCAGCCAGTGCCATGATAAGGATCATAGCAACAAAGTTACCAGCAAGAGTCTAGGGTGAATTCCAGCTTCAAGCACAACAGGAAGCAATGCTAATAATAGCCACTTAAGCCAAGGAAGTTTTCTCAAAATGGCAGTTTGCTGAAAATGCCTGCAGCGCTTCTCCTCTCTATTGCATTGATGGCACGACTACATACTGGCCACATGGGGGCACCACCATACTCCACAATCAAAAGAAATTCCTGTGATTTTCCTAATCTGAGATATTAGCAGGGCGCTGTTCAGTCTCCCACAGTGTTTCGTAGAAATACTATTGCTAATGAAGGCACGTAATAGGCAAAGAATATAAAAGCGGCCACATTCAGAGGATTTTACAACTACACTGTAGTTTGCAGTCTGTTCCACTGGTCCTCCAAACCCCTTTTTAAAAAACATACTCCTAGGACTCCAGTCCCTAGCCATCTGCTCTTCTTTCCCTCTCCTGCTGCAGGTAACCTCTCTACTAATAACTCTCAGATGCATGTCTCTAGCTCTTGTCTCTCAGCTGAGCTCAGTGATGTTCAATGCCTTAAACTGACTAACCGCGCCACCCCCCCCATCTCTAACTGTGCTCTGGTTATTGCAACCATCGTTACAAACTCAGCACTTCTATAAAGCCAATTCACCTTTCCTTACAGACAAACTGTCCCTCCAGATTTTCTGACTTCTCTCAATAATAATAAACACTATTATCTGGCATGTGCCAGACTTTACATGGATTAACTCATTTAATACTGAAAATAACAAAGAGGTTTGATATCTTGTTCAAAATCACATAGCTAAAGAAGTGTCAGAGCTGGGATTTGAATCCAGGCAGACTAGCTCTGGATCCATGCTCTGAACCATTATATTGTCATAGCTGATATTTCCCTTTGAAGGTGTACATTTATACTCTCAGTTTTCCACAAGTAACCAGCATACTTTTGTTGATGATGGTAAAGTGAGAGCCCAGAGGCTAAGGAATTTCTACTAAACTGTAAGGCACAAGCGCAAGGACCAGGTCTCTGACTCGTGCTGTATTGCCAGCACTTCACACAGTTTATGGCATACGATAAGCATTCAACACACACTTTTGGTTTGAATTGGCTGAAGTCACATTCAAATCACCATGTACACAGGCTAAGAGCCAAAAAATTACCTCAAAAGTCCAAATGTAGTTTCCACCAACAGTAGTACAGACTGATGCCAAGAGTTGCTATTTTGAAAATAATGAGCAAAAAAATCTTTTTTCAAAGTCAAAACAAATGTAAGAAAGAAGGAAGAAAACGATTGTAAAGTACTTATAAATGGAAAGAGGTCTATAAAAGTCTATCCAAAAAAACGTATAGTGAACTAGGACAAGGAAAGGAGATGGGAGGATGGTGAGAAGAAGGTATCTGTGGGACATGCAGAGGCAGCTGTCTGGAAGTACGTATGTCCAATTCAGATATTAAAGCCCATTCAGTTATTATGTTGAGTTGGGCCTTGTTTTTATAACACCTTACTTGTTTAATTTCCTCTGTTCCAGAAAAGTCAGAACTACCACCCTGCTAAAAAGTCTAGGTCTTGGAGGAGTCATATGAACAGGTGAGGCAAGGCAATTACGAATTTGGTTAAAAATGTTTATTCTTTTTAGGCAAGGATAGAGCAGAATATGACTATTTACCACTAATTAAAAGTATGGTTTCTCTTGATCTGTTTTTTCATTCACGTGTTAGGCCATGTTTAATAAGTGCCAACCAATTAGGTACTAGGAATATAAATGTGATCCAGGAAAATACAGTCATGTGTGCAACCTCCATGCAAGTAAAAAGCAGAAGTAAAGGGTGCTAAGAATCACCCAACCGGGGAGAGGGGGTATCTAACCCAGACTTTGGATAGTCACAAAAGGCTTCCTAACTGATATCCGAGCTGAGACCTGAAGGAGGATTAAAAGTTAGCTGGGAAAGTACGAGAAAGAAAGATCAGAAAGATCGTTCCAGGCAAAGAGCACGTGGGAAAGGCTGCGAGTGCAAGAGCGAGGTTCATTCTAAGGAGCCGCAGGGTAACAGCAAGTTGGGAGGGTGTGGGGACATTCTCACACACAGGTGCTAAGAGTATCATTTTATACAAATCTATAAACTTCTACAGAGAAATTTTGGGACATGTTCAATGCCTTAAAAAGTTTAAGTTTTAAAAGTTTCAATTTAACCCAGGAATTTCATTTCTGGGAATTTATCTTATAGAAATAACTAAGCATGTATGTAATGATTTAGCTACAAAAAAAAGAAACATGCCACTGCTTAAAAAAGCAAAATGTTTAAAGCAACCTAAGTGGCCATCTATTGAGGACTAGTTAAATAAAGTACAGTACTGCCACATTTCTGAATACTCCGCAATCATTATAAATTGTGCTGAAGATTAATATTTATTGTCATGAAACATGTTCAAAATATGACATTATGAGAAAAAGCAAGATAAGATACAGTATCGTGGCATGGATTCTATTTCAAAAATACATGAGCAGAAGAGGTCTGCTTATTTCTAGATTGTGGAATTATAAATGTTTTTAGCTTCTTTTTTGCTTATCTTTTTAATATTTCTTTAATGAACATGCAGTGCTTTTTCAACAGAAGAAATATTAGTTACCTATTATCTTTCTCTGAAGTTTTAATGGTCCCACCAGTGAACTGAGATGAATTGTCTTACATTCAGCTCTTGACCACCAGGCTATAAGAGCATAAAAAGGAATATGGATTCCAGGAAAGAGATCTAGACAGCACATCCCCACACCAGTGCCCATACCCCTCTTCCTCTCAACACATACCTGGACAAATCCAAACGGGAAGAAACGCTCTGTCTGTCCCTGGGAGCCGCGGTGGAAGGTTTCGCGCCAGTCTTCAATGAGCGCAGGGAATGTGCAATTGTACAGGTCCCTGTTAAGATTTATATTGGCCTCCCCTAAAAACAGTCCAAATTGTGAGAGGAGTTTGGGGTAGATGCAAAAACAGCCACACATTACACCCCAAACTCTATCCATGCCCTTAGGAAGTGGGCCTTCCTGCAGGCTCTCTGGACTGGACTTGTGATTTGCTCTGGCCAGTGGGGCATCAGCAAACATGATGCAAGCAGAGGCTTGAAAAGCACTTCAGCTTTGGGGGTTTACTCTCCCTTGACACACCTGGAACCCTGAAACTGCTATGTAAATGATAGATAAGTCTGAGCTAGCTTGCTAAAGGATGAGAGGCCACATGAGAACCATGGTGCCCCAGCAGATAGACAGCCCCCAGTCAACAGACATGAGGGAGAGGCTATCCTAGGTCATCCAGCCACCAGACAACCTGCCAGGTGGCCAAAGACACACAACAGATCCCAGCAGAAATTAGCCAAAGCAGCCCAGACAGAAAAACTACCCTGCTAACCCACAGAACAGAGAGCTAAACAAACTTATTATTGTTGTAAGTCACTAAGTTCTGGGGTGGTTTGTTATACAGGAAAAGCTAACTCATACAATGGAGAAATAGCCAATTGAACACTCACCTTGATACCATATCACCCCTTTCAGAGTCATATTATGTAGCGGATGGATCATGGCATTCCAGAGAACAGAGTACTCACTGGGACCAGTTACAAAATCAGATGGAATGAACCTGAAATCCATAAGATGCACAAGCGTCAGGAGAGAACTAGTGATTGATCACATGATGATCCCTAAGCTGGGAGTGTATCCAGCTTGCATTTGGGTCAAATTTCTGATGAAAGCAACAGAGAATTAAATTGAACCTCTCCGCTTCACATGAAAACATGTGAACAGTCTCCAAATTTCACTTCCAGGTTCTTTCCAGGATAAGTGTATCAGTCAGCTTTCTAGGAGTTCAAAGTGGGCCATCCCAGGGCCAGCCCGGTAGCTTAGCGGTTAGGTGCGTGCGCTCCGCTGCTGGCGGCCCGGGGTTCAGATCCCCGGTGCGCACCGACACACCACTTCTCCGGCCATGCTGAGGCCACGTCCCGCATACAGCACCTAGAAGGATGTGCAGCTATGACATACAACTATCTACTGGGGCTTTGGGGGGAAAATAAAATAAATAAATAAAATCTTAAAAAAAAAAAAAGTGGGCCATCCCAGTTCGCAGATAAGGTCATCAAAACCAGAGAGGAAGAGTGTTTTATTATGAGTCTCTAATACAGGCAATAAATGTATTTAACTAGTGCTCAATGGATGGACACTTAGATTGTTTTAAGCTTTTTGCTTTTATAAGCAATGCCATGATTATCTTCCTTTCAGCTAAATCATTTCATACAGGCTTAATTATTTCCTTAAGATAAATTCCCAGAAATGAAATTGCTGGGTCCAAAAACACATTTTTGTAAGGCTTTGAACGTGTTCCTAAATTTCTTTGTAGAATACTTACATATGTATTTATACTCGTAGCAGCCATGTATGAGAATTCCCACTTCCCCACACCCTTGGTATTGTCCCTTTCATGTCCCCAGAGATATGGGAGGCCCGGCTTTAGATCCCTCCTACTCTGCCACAGGCCATTCTTTCTGTTCTCAAGTCGAATGTCTTCACTCCCCCCCAGACAAGCCTTTACCATACTATTCAAGAGCCCAAGTCCATCCTCTTCCCAGAGGCCTTCCTAGAATTGATGAGACAACGTCTGTGAAAGCAGTTCACATATCATTACTCTCTATGTTAATATTAGTATCAGCATTTTAGTAACTAGCCCTTTCTCCCCATCCCAAATATTCTTCCTGGTCCAGCTTTTCCTAAGTGTGCTTTCATAATCAGTATACTAATATATTTCTTTAATTACATGTATATTTTTTCTTTCTATTAGACTGTTTATTCTTATATAACACAGTACTTTAGAGCACAGACATTGAAGCCAGACTTTGCCATTTACTAGTCGTGTCCATGAGCAAGTTACTAAACCTCTCTCAGAATCAGTGTCTTTATCCATAGTATGTTCATAGTTTCTACACTTAAAGAGGTTATTGTGAGGATTAAGTGAATTAATAAATATAAAGTTCTTACAGCAATATCTGGCATATAGAAAGCTTTCAGTTAAGTATTAGCTATTACTACTATTGGGGAAAAGAATCATAATTGCTTCTTGACATATTCTCAGATTATTGCAATGGTGATTTCTGTGCATGAAATAAGTTACATACATTCAATACATATTTGGACATTCAACACATACTTGAGTCCCCAGAGGAGACCATGATCCTTCTCTCTTTCATAACTTCCTGGGAGGCTTTCTCCCAGACTGAGAATGCTTTCTTACCCTTACCTAGGGACCCCACAGGCTTTCAGTGACCTTCCAGATGACCAGGCTTCAATGGGTGTCCCACCCCACGAGGAGGCGATCAGCCCAATGGGATACTGCAGAGTGTCATACAGGTAACGCCCAAAGAGCCAGCACACTGCTGACATGTACTGGAAATTTCCGTGGCCTAAGTTTTCTGTTCAGAGAAATAGTTAAAGAAAGAGTCAGGGAAAAATTAGATGGATACAAACTGTAGCTACTAGATGAGTCTAGGTGAGAAGAATGGGTATGAGTCATTCCTTGCATTATTTTCTAAGACTTTCAAAGAGTAGGACAAGATTGAGAGGCAAAAGATTGAGAAGCCAAAGCTCTCTGGCCAAGCAAGAAGGCTTCCCCTCTGACCCCAAGCTTCGCCATCTCTTACAGCTTCCTGACAATCTAGGAATATTAATACTCCTCCTCAAAGGTGAGGTGCAGAAAGGCCATTGGGCCTCTATACTACCATCATCTACACCTCTCCTCTCACCTCGCCATTCATCCCCACTTAGCTCTGTGGAAGGGAATAAGCAAGCAGGGGGCATGTCAAGAAGAAATGTGTATTTGTTTCTGGGTAGTTTTATAACCAATTTTATAGCAATGGTAATGAAAATACGGACAAGTAAGTCACGGGAAGTTTGGCCAAAAAGGAAAGCAACAGAAACCAAAACTAGTGTTTAAGTTTTCAGCACAGTCTACCTCATGAGTCCACACAGCCCGATAACTAACACAGACCAGAATGCGCAATTTGTCAGAAGAAAGCTGATAAAGAAGGGAACATGCACAAGCATACAACTGACGGGATCAATTCAACCCAGTATTTATTAAAGAACTACTATGTATAAGTCACTGGCTTGGCACCATGAAAGATTCAAACTCAATATGGTCCTGGCACTCAAAAAGCTGATAGTGTAACAGTGGGAATTCAAACCAATTTCAAATCAATTACAATTGATTGAGCACTTACTAGGTGCCAGGCACTTCTAGATGGTTGAAATACAGTAATTAAAGAGATATGGAGAGACATGGAACCTCTCTTCATAGCTCTTATATTCTACAGAATAAGACAAATACTCAGCTGAACAAAATATATGAAAAAAATATGGTTAAGTGCCTAAAGAGGCACAAACAAGTGTTAAGGGGTTTTAACAGCAAAAGAAAGAATATCAAATGAAAGGCAGATCATAAAAAGCCTAATGAAGCCTGACCTCCTCCCCTGTGCTTCCATAACACTCTGCGCATAGTGTTTCCCTTTCCCCACTAAACTATTAACTACTTGAAGGCAGGGACTCCACCTTATTCACTTCGGTGTCCCCAGTGTCTAGTACCTAACAGAGAGTCAGTAAATGTCTACTGACTGGTGTTGGGTGGCTGTGGGTAGCCGGTATCAAAGTGGATTCAGTGACAGGTAGGTATGGGGAAAGGTAAATAAGAGGGAAGGCGAGAGAGGTGGGGAAGCGTTGACGGATAGACAGTTTACTATTTAATAAGCAGAGCTGGCATTCTAGGCAGATGAAACAATATGTAAAAAGGTGCAGAGAATAGGAAAAATTTTGAAAGTATTTGACAGGAGCATAGATTATAAAAGGAGAATAGTGGAAGATAAGACTGGACGGGAGGTTAGAGTCACATCTTGGAGTAAAGAAAATGGAAAGCCACTTGAAAATGCCTGAGAGTGAGAATGTGTGGTAGGCAGAAGAGCCTCCCAAAGATGTCCACACTCTAATGCCTGGCACCTGTGACTATGACCTTATGTGGCTAAAAGGACTTTGTAGATGTGATTGGGGTTAAGGACCTTGAGACAGGGAAATTGTCCTGGATTATCCAGATGGAGCCAATCCAATTACATGGGTCCTTAAAATCAAGATCTGAAATGTGAGATGCTCTTGCCCAGATATCAGCATTGCCTCATCTCTTTCAGGTTATCACTGAATGTCGCCTTTCTCAGTTGGGACTACCACAGCTACTCTCCATTGGAAACCACTACCCCACCCCAGCCCCAGTGGTCTGTATTGCCCCCCTTCCCTGATGTGTTTTATTGATTTATTCTTGTCTCATCAGCATGCATCACCATCTAGCCTATCCCTTAATATTCAAAACTTTATTCAATCTCTGAGTTCTGAGAGTAAAAGGGAGCTGACAGCAAGGTATAATACATTATCCAAATCTAACTGATTCTTGAGTTTTGGATACCATATAGTAAGAGCTCATAGACCAAAAGAGTCACCCAAAAATTTACCCAAATCTATTCAATTCCTGAGTTATTACAGGGAGAGTTCAGATAGTATGATACTGAATAGTATCAGATACATTGTATATCATTTACTAATTTTATTATTTATTTCTGTACCCCCCGCACTAGGATGTAAGCTCCATAAGATTAGGTGTGCTTGCCTGCTGTATTCACTGCTATACTCCCAGCACTTAGAATGGTGCGTAGCACATAGTAGGCACTCAAATATTTGCTGAATGAATTAATACTTGAAAATACAGGAGCAATTGAGGTTACCAAGGTAAAGCACATATAGACAAAAGAGAAAAAGGACTAGAAAGAGCACAAGGGACCACGTTTGGAGGAAGGGATTGAAAGCAAAGAAACAGGGAAGGAGAAGACAGAGGAGGAGAACCAGGGAAAGGAAGCACCACGCAAGCTAAGAGGAACGTGCAGTTCCTCAAAGTGGCAGTCAGCAGTGTCGAATGCTACAGAAGTGCCCAGAGTCTATAACTAGAAAAACAGTAGTACCCTCCAAGGGAACAAGTTGTTGAGGTGGAAGCAGAAGCCAGATCACAAAGGGTCAGCGTGAACACGTGGAAAGACAATGAAAAGGATGAAAACCAAAGATGTTCTAGAAAAGTTTAACCAAGCAAAGGGGAGAGATGAGGAGGGTGTTTGTTATGTTTAGTTTTGCTTTGTTTTGTTAGAATAAAAGAAAAGATAAGCTCTGAGAGTGGGGACTGAGTCTGTCTTGCTCAGTGCTATATCCTTGGGGCCTAGCACAGAGCCTGGCACAGAGTGGGCATGAAATAAAGGTTTCTTGCTGAATGGACAATGGGATAAAAGAACAGAGCCTGCGGGATAGAAGAAGGCCGTGGAGGAGGTACAAGACCAAATCAGAGGGGACCCTGAAACACCAGTCAGTTGTGTTCAGACACAGAAACAAAAAAAGAAAGAGAAGAGAAGAACAGAGCACTGAAGTGCCGAAGAGTGATGCTGGCAGAGCTCACGCTGAATGGCCTCAGTGTGTTCAGTGAAGGTGAAGGAAGAGTCATCTGCTCACAGCAAGGGGGAAGATTCACCGGTAGAGTCTTGCTTGGGAAGAAACATATGAAATGGCCACCAACAGGAATGGGGTGGAGAGTCAATAAGAAATGAATGAAAGGATGGTTGAATAATAATAAATAGATCAGAACCAAATTCAGGATTACAGATTCCATAGGGCACTAACCCATTATATAAGAGATGGCACACGTTCCAGCAATCACTTACCTGCGGTAGGCTTAGACCATTGCAAGTCAACCTCAGCAAGGTCCTCCAGCTCCTGCTGTGCCTGAACGAGAGACACAGAGAGGATGCGGACAGACTGATAGGCAGCAGTGTTAGACAGCTCGCTTGTAGCATTAAATATCTAGAAAAGAAATAGGAAATGTCATTTCTTACACCAACCTAGTGGGTGTCAACTATCCTACTGCCTCTCAGTAAACACTACCAACCCTCTGAGCTCTTTCTGAGCCTTCAATATACCAAGACCAAATGAATGACCAAAACCGATGATGGGTTGGTCTGAGTCACCTTGACCCACCTTGAGCAACAGAGACGGTGATGAATCATGTCCCCAAAGAAGGTAGGAATACAATGAAATCTGAGATCTCAAAGAGCCTGTCTATATTAGAAGAGAGGAGCTATGGAGTAGTTTCGGCTAAACAAGATCAAGCATTCAGAAATAGTATCTGATAACATAAAGCCATGGCATTAACTTCTTTCAAAAATGGAGCCAAAAAGGCCATGGGGAGGTAGGTTTGTGTAACCTATACCACATAAGAGAAGTGTATTCAAAGGAAACCCACCTGAGAAATGATTGTTGAACTACTGAAACACACTGAAATCAGTCTCAAAAATGCTTATATTCTCATCTCAGTCCTGGCAAATCACCAAAGGAAAGCATAGAGGCATGGCAATTTGAAAGGTGGTGTTCAGGGTAACTGCTGAGGACAGTCCCAGGAACCCAGACAAAGAAAAGGGGCCATCCAAAGACACATCCCTTTTTCCCAAATCACTTTATGAAACCTTATGAGCTGCCAAGAGCATGACAGGAACGGCTGAGGGTTTTCCTGGACAAGAACACGTGTGCTACGCTGAGTAGTTTCTTTGTTAGTCCTATTAAACATCATTCCTCTCTGAGCTACACATAAGTGCTATTTCCTTTAATTCTGAATTTTTTAGTTATGTTTTTCCTTTATTTTAAAAAGAATGTATCATAAATATGTTGTTTTGCTTTCTTATATGTGCTTTTTTTTTTCCTGTCTTCTCTCTATCCCCCTGGACTAGTCTGGTTTTCCCAAAACAAAGGGCTAATGGGCGCATCAGGAAGCCCAGTTATCATTGGTCTCAGGGAAAAGAGCTCCAGCTGAGACAGGACCGCCACAGCGAGATGCACAGGAGGCTGGGATACTTTCCACTGGCCGCTAGCCACAGTGTGCAGCTGGTTTGCTTTCCCTCCCACCCACCACAGAGAATACAGCTGGCCCTCCAGCCCACAGTGTAAGTGAAATGATGGAGCAGCCAGAGTGCCCCCACAGAGCATTTCATTGAAATACGCAGCCCCTTGAATCACCTTTTGACTTGCCACTGAGACTGCTGTGGCCAGTAAGACAGCCAGATGCAAATGAAATGGCTCTTTTGGTCACAATGGGAGCCACAGCCTGAAACGCTCCCTGGGTAGCAGCAGCTCTAGCCTGTCAGGGTTACTGGTCTTCCCACTATCAGGACAGAGATTACAAATGGCCTCGGGAAAATTCCATAGGAAATCCAGACCTGTTTATTCAGGATCTTGCCCGGCAAGTTTAACGTAAAATAAACATTCAAGAGTAAGAACAGGCTAATGCACTCACAGTATATTCTGGCAGGGAAATTATTTTTCAGCAGCAAGTACCCGTAAAAAGTCGCCTCCCTTGAAATTCAGTTCTGTACTAAGCGCTAAGATCGCATGTTGCTTCCATGGAAACAGTGGATAAAACTGCCTTCATTCTTTCCACCCACACCAGCTTCCGTGCTGACTGGGAACTCAAGTGCCTCGTCGCAACGAGATGCCAGCTTGGGAGGCAGTATGAGTGAACATGCTACTTGTCTTTCAGACCCGCTGCTAACACCGTAGACTATTCAAGGCCAACAGAGTCGGAGTGGCTGGCGTTCTCCTGTATTGTTACCAGCACACAGAACTGGATCCAAAATGTTGGCTGGAAAACTTCCATGTTCAAGCTCACATTTGTGTATTATTTCAAGCCAAAACTTGAAAGCTATAGAAAGTGTTAACAAAAATGGGGGTGGGGAAGGAATTCTGGCTATACCTGATGACAATTAATTCTGAAATTGGTATCCTTTCCCAATCTCACCAAGCCTTTTTGATGGAAGCATTTCCTCAGGGATATTGACAGCAAACTCAGGAATAAAGAGATTTCAGGAAGATTTTCATTTAAATGACACTTGGTTTCCCTGCTGATGAAAGGGGAAGCCTTACTCCATCTGCTGAGATCAAATTTCATCTCATCAAACACCTCAGTGTAATTATTTTTCTACCAAGTATTTAAATGAGGATGTAAATGAATACCAAAGTATTTGAAGTCATTAATGCTGTGGCGGCTGAGAGAGAGCGCCACTGCCTCTCCAGGGACTGGCCGTTCACCATCAAAGCAGCTGCTCACCGGTGTTCATTTTGTAACCTTTATACCACATTCTTGAATTAATGAAGAGACGTCAAGAATCCATTTCCTCAGAGAATCTTGGCATGGGCTCTGCATGGGGGAGCAAGGCGTGTGTGTGTGACAGTATGTGCGTGTGTGTGTGCGCACATGCACAGCACGCGCACACACTAAAGGACCCAGGGAAACTTTACTTAAAAGAATTTGGATCCTGGAAGTCATTTTACCTTCTACTACAGCATAATGCAGCAGTTCTAAAGTTGAGGGTAATAACTATAAACAAGCCAGCCATCATAACTCCTGTAATTCTTTTATTGTAATGTGATACCAGCCCTTCTCTTCTGGATTTTAATTTCTCTACATGTAAAGTAGGAATGCGGGGATTGCTGAAATAGTGAAAAATGGGTGTGCTGTCTAACGTTGGCCATCTTCTTCTGAGCCTAACTAGAAATATCCAAGTCTTAAGACCCATCCGAGGGGCCAGCCCAGGGGGCCTACTGGTTAAGTTTGGCACACTCCGCTTCAGCGGCCTGGGTCCGGTTCCCAGGCATGGATCTACACCACTCATCTCTCAGTGGCCAAGCTGTGGTGGCGGCTCACAAACAAAAAGAGGAAGATTGGCAGCGGATTTTAGCTCGGGGAGTCTTCCTCAGGAAAAAAAAAAAAAGACCTACCTTGACTTAGGAAGCGACAGATGAACATTTAGACTTTTCTCCATTTATAAACATCTCACTCTGTGTTATAAATAACACTCGATTTTAAAATTCCACTTTACCCTGACAACAAGATGGGCACACAATCTGCCATTTCCTTCATTTAAATGTGAAGAGTGTTAGGTTATAGTGGAAATCTTACCTCCTCAGAAAAGTCACATGGGGGTAGGGAGAAAAAAAGAGACAACACCGTGTGTGTGCGCGTGCGCGTGTGTGTATTGGGAGTCATGTAGAGCATCCTTTTGATCACAAAATATAAAGTTCAACAGCGTGTTAACAGACTAGAAACCTTGGCTTTTGGTACTGTCAGCATCTAAAATGCTGTCTTGCAAACCAAGTGCATGATTTAAAACAAAAAAATAAAAAATTAACACTTGGATGTTTCAGATGGACTCTTTTTTCTGTTTCCCTATATCTCAGAGTTTGTCGCCTTAGCTTAAGAAGTAAAATGCTTAAGAGTAGAAGACACTTAAGAGCAAATTCTAGGCAGAAAGAATGTGTTTACTCTTAACAATCAAAATCTGATTTAGCTTGACAGAAAATGGGATAGAATCCCCTGGCATAGACTGCTATTGAGAACCTGACTGTATGGATACAAATAGATCTGGTCCATGCCTTTCTGTGCAAACATGGAACTGCAATTAAAGCATTAAGGAAAGTACTGTTTTCCTTAATGACTTAACAGCAATTCCACTTCTATACAAAACCATGCTTCTATCAAGAAATAAAACTTCAATTTTGCTTTCATTCGCTTATGCTAAAAAAAAAAAGCCCAGAAAACTTCAGTTTAATAAACATTTAAATTCAAAAGGCTTCTGTAGGGGCCAGCCCCATGGCCTAGTGGTTAAGTTTGGCACTCTCCGCTTCATTGGCCCAGGTTCAGTTCTGGGTGCAGACCTACACCACTTGTCAACCATGCTCTGGCGGTGACCCACATGCAAAACAGAGGAAGACTGGCACAGGTGTTAGCTCAGGGTGAATCATTTTTGCCCAAAAAAAAAAAAAAAAAGGGCTGGCACAGTGGCATAGCAGTTAAGTGTGCATGCTCCCCATCGGCAGCCCAGGGTTTGCAGGTTTGGATCCTGGGCACAGAACTACACATTGCTTATCAAGCCATGCTGTGGCAGCGTCCCATATAAAGTAGAGGAAGACAGGCACGGATGTTAGCCCAGGGCCAATCTTCCTCAGCAAAAAAAAAAAGAGGAGGATTGGCAACAGATGTTAGCTCAGGGCTAATCTTCCTCAAAAAAAAAAAAAGACTTCTGTATATTTAAGTAGGGCAGGAAGCAAGAGGAAATAAAATAATGGTTAGGAAGACATAAACACAAGAATTCAGACTTTGAATTAGAAAACTAATGATGAAATGAAGTGGATATGTCCAGAGGATCTTTTTAGTAGCATTATTTACTAATTGGTTAAAAAAAGAAAAAGACAAAAAAAAGAAGAAACTATAAGTGGCAGAAGCTATAGAAGTAAAATAAGAAATCATAAAGTATGTGAAAGGGCTCACTTTTATAAATTTAAAAAAAAAAAGAAAGAAATTGAGACCATGGTCTAATTGTAGAGAACTTTTAAATCTCAAATTTAAATATTTCTCAAAGATGAAGAGGTAGATAGCACAAAGGCAGGAAAATAAAAATAACTTGAGAAGAAACCGAGTTTTAGAGAAAGAGCTGGGGAAGACAATAATCTTTCCAAGTTCTCAACCTATTAAAGGAAGCAAATCAAAGTATACAGAACATATTAGTGCCAATCAATAACTCAAATTCAAGAATTTATTCCTAACATTCTTATTTATATAATGTGCCTCTTTATTGTAAACTGAGCCTTTGATAGATATTTAAGAGGTTAAGTCAATATCAATTTCTTGTTTTTATAATTTTCTTTTAAAAATTATAGTTATTTCATGCTCATTATGGAAAAATCAGAAAATACAGATAAGCAAAGAAAATCAATCCCAATTTCAAATGTGCCAAAGAACTTAACTCATATTAGTTTCTCTGGAGCTCTGATACTGAGTAAAAAATATTTAATAATATTTCAGCAGTATGTTAAGCCTATATAGTTCAAATATGCCTATAAACTTGCTATTACACTGTCTTGCCTTGATCTTAATTTAAATGAAACAATAATGGTCACTCTTATCTTTACTTTTAAGTCAGATAGCTTCCACTAGACAAATGAAGTGACAACAATTCTGAGGCCCAGAGCACTAACTCCTATCATGCTCTATCCAGAAATCCACTCTCTTCATTCTAGACTGTTTTTGTGTTTAATTAGAAAGTAGAGTTGATCCCAACAAGAAATGAATGCTAAAGACACATAGCACCAAGGCTTTTGTTCTACCACTGCTGCCTTGCTAGAATACCAATCAAACCACCAAGAGGATGGCCTCCCTGCATAACCGTTTCAATGTCCTTTTCATCCAGCGTTACTGAAGAGACCTCACTCATAGTCTGTCAGAGGGGCCCCATTCTCTAACAGCAATGGAGACAGCAACACTGCAAGGGGAGTTTCATCACAGACCAACATGCCAGCAAGTCAGCATTCCCTTGTTCTGTCTTGATTCTCCATGTACTATATGCGCTCCATCCCTACTTGGGAGCCTACAAAGTGGTCTTCCTCCTGACACTTTAGCAGGGTAAATAGAGCCCAGTGAAGCCTCTAAATAGTTACGATAAAGGAGAAAAAATGCTAGGTCTCAAAATTTAAGAATAATTAACCTTCAAAAGTCATGACTGAAATAGAAAAAAAATTGACACTAACAAAAGAAATCCCAGGCTATGAAAAAGTTGCACAAAAAAAAGTCATCACTGGCCTATTATTATTTCTTCTTTCCGTGAAAAGAAAAAAGAAATATATATAATACACATATCAAATTGATATATATTAATATATATATCAATTTGATATAAGACACCTAATTGAAGTATCAAGATGTCTGCAGCTTACCTTGAAATGGTTCACACACACAAAAAAAGATAAGCCAAATATGGCAAAATGTTAACAACTGTCAATCTAGGTGATGAGTATATAGGTGTTTATAAGTCTCTTACCTTTTGTGTGTGTTTGAAACTTTTTATGATAAAAAGTTGAAAAAATTATGACATCTTATATTTAGACAGCAGTTTTCAATTTATAAGAGCCTTCAGAGACAAAAAAAATAATTTAATCTTCATAATGGCCCTATAAATTTGTTAGGTCAAATATAATCATTGGTATAGTATAGTCTTAAAAACTAAGCCTCAGACATTTAACAAAATTCAACATGTTTCCATGATAAAAACTCTCAAACAGCTAGGAATAGAGGGAAAATTCATGATAAAAGGCATTTATGAAAAAGGCACAGGTAACATCATACTCAGTGGTGAAAGACTGAAAGCTTTCCCCCTAAACCAGGAACAAGACAAGGATGTCTACTTTCACTACTGCTATTCAACACTGTACTGAAAGTTCTAGCCAGAACTATTAGACAAGAAAAAATAAGAAAAGGCATCCAAATCGGAAAGAAAGAGGTAAAACTATCTCTGACTGCAGATGATATGCTCCTATACATAGAAAATCCCAAAGAATCCACAAGAATGCTACTAGAGCTAATAAACACATTCAGGAAAGTTAGGGTACAAGATCAATATGAAAAATCATGTTTCTATACATCAGCAATGAACAATCCCAAGATGAAATTAAGAAAGAAATTCCATTTACAATAGCACCTAAAAGAATTAAATACTTAGGAATAAATCTAGCCAAGGAGATAAAAGACTTGTACATTGAAAACTATAAAACATTGCTGGAAAAAATTAAAGATCTAAATTAATGGAAAGACACTCCATGTTCACGAATAGGAAGACTTAACATTGTGAAAATGTCAATACTACCCAAAGCAATCTACAGATCCAATGCAATACCTATCAAAACTCCAACAGCTTTTTTTTGCAGAAATGGAAAAGCATTTCCTCACATTCATATGGAAGTGCAAGGGATCCTGAATAGTCAACACAATCTTGAAAAAGAAGAATAAAGCTGGAGGACTCACACCTCCCAACTTTGAAATTTACCACAAAGCTACAGTAATTAAAACAGTATGGTACTGGCATAAGGAGAGACATATAGACCAATGGAATAGAATAGAAAGCCCAGAAATAAGTCCTCATATATATGGTCGATTGATTTTTGACAAGAATACCAAGATCATTCAATGGGGAAAAGACAGTCTTTTCAACAAATGGTGCTGGATAAACTGGATATCCCCTTGGAATAGAATGAAGCTTAGACCCACACCTCACACTGCATATAAAAATTGACTCAAAAAGCATCAAAGGCTAAACTTAAGAGTTAAAACTATAAAATTCTTAGAAGACAACCTTGGGGAAAATCTTCATGACACTGATTTTGGCAATGATTTCATGAGTATGACACCAAAAGCATAGATAACAAAAGAAAAAACAGATAAACTATACTTCATCAAACTTAAGAACTCTTGTGTACCAAAGAATACTGTAATGAAAGTGAAAAAAACAACCTACAGAATAGGAGAAAATCTTTGCAAATCATATATCTGACAAGCAATTAATATCTAGAATAGATAAAGAATTCCTACAATTCAACAACAAACAACTCAATTCAAAAATGGGTAAAGGACTTGAATAGACATTTCTCCAAAGAAGATATACAAATGGCCAATAAGCATATGAAATAATACTCAACATCATTAGTCATTAGGGAAATGCAAATCAAGACCATGATGAGATACCACTTCACACCTATTAGGATGGCTTTAATAAAAGAAAAAAAAATTAACATGTTAGTGAGAATGTAGAGAAATTGGAACCTTTGTACATTGCTGGTAGAAATGTAAATTGGTACAGCCACTGTGGAAAATGGTTTGGTGATTCCTCAAAAGTTAAACATAGAACTAACAGATGACCCAGAAAGTCCACTCATAGGGAAATATCCAAAAGAATTGAAAGCAGGGACTGGAACAGATATCTGTACACCAATGTTCATAGCAGCATTATTCACAATAGCCAAAAGTTAGGAACAACCCAGGTGTCCATCAACAGATGAATGAATAAACAAAATGTGGTACATGCAATGGAACACAATTCAGCCATAAAAAGGAATAAAATTTTGACATATGCTACAACATGGACGGACCTTGAAAACATTATGCTTAGTGAGATAAGCCATACACAGAAGGACAATATTACATGATTCCACTTATATGAGGAATCTAGAACAGGAAAATTCATAAAGAGAAAGCAGAACAGAGGTTACCAGAGGCTGGAAGAAGGGGAAAAGGGGGAGTTATTTTTTAATGGGTACAGAGTTTACGTTGGGAATGATGAAAAACTTTTGAGTTCAGTTAGTGGTGATGGGTACACAGAGCATTGTAAATATATTTAATGCCACTGAATTGCACACTTACCAATGGTTAAAATGATAAGTATTTTGTTATATTCATTTTAATCACAATTGTTAAAGCATGTTTTAAAAACAAAGTCTCAGAAATACCAAGTGATTTGCTCCACGTCATGCTAGTTGTATGACCAACACTCAGTCTCAATTTTTTAATCTCCATGACAACAAAAGACATATAGTATATTAGCTGCTCAGCATTAAAACAAAATCTAATTGTTTTGATTTCCTAGGCTCTCTCCAGAAGCTCATCTTCTAAGACCAATCCAAAAGAAGAGTAATGTACTTTAGCCCCAATTTGATATGAAATCACCACTACCCTCAGATACTCTCTCACTTCTGCCCTTAGCCCAGGCAGGTGAGAAAACAGTGCCCAGCACACTTAGCGTACACTAGCCATGATCAGGAAAGCAGGCTCCGGAGTCACGTCACCAGTTCATATCCTGGCTCCACTACTAACTGTGTGACCTCAGCCGGGTAATCTAACCTCATGGGTCAGTTTCCTCAACTGTGAGATGTGAATAACAGTACTTACCTCATAAAGTTGTTAAATCAAATTAATACATGCAAAGTACTTAGAACAGATCTTGGCTCATGGTAAAAAAGAAGATTTCTACCACCTTCTCCTCCTTACTCCCTTCCTCCTCCTTCTTCTTTTTCCTCTTTATCATCAGCAACATTATTTATTTTGGCTAAGACTCTGCAAATTACCTGTGAAACCGTCATCTGCATGTTACTTTGCCCACTGCAAAGCCAGACATCTCCAAATAAGACATCATGAACTCTCAGGGTGAAGTTCATTCTCCCAAGAGTCTGTTGTGCCATCACTTCATAAGATCCACCAGGCTTCACAGGATCCAGTATCACCATCCAGCTATTAGAGTGTGCTGAAATAATAAGGCTCCATGGAATTAATCAATCAATTAATTGAAATGAAATTAAAGCCCAATCCTGTCATGCATCATACTCATCTGTGGCTATTCCCAGCCTCTGTGATGAACTGAATTCAAAGCTATGAAGATTGGCCAAATTTCAGACAAGTGAATAGAAATAACAAAGGCAGCAGCATTTCTATCCTTAATCTGTACCAATCCCTCCTTACTTTTAACTGAAGCATTTACAGGAAAAATAAGTTACCCAGTTATAACCCTAAATGAGGACAGACAAAAATATACAGAGATTAAAATTCAAGGGAGTTTAATAAAAAACATAAAATAGAAATTCTTATTATACTATCGAACTGTCAATATTAACATAATCATAATCTAACAGATTTACACAGTGCCCCAAACTAACTTGTAATTATCTGATCAAATGTGAGCACAGGTTAGAGAAAATCATTCATGATCTGAAACTTCGCCTCGCTGATGGTATCATCCTTGTCCTCAACCGCCCTACCTCCTCCCCATAGTGCTACCGAGATTAATACTACTAGTGGTTCCGCATTCTCCTATCAACAGTTAAATAGGCAAAGGGAGAAACCAACACATAAAGTAATGAGAGGTATATAAATTAATCTCAGTGAAGAAGATATTTAGGCTTGCCCATTTAATTATTTTCACAGAGTTATTTACCAGACTTAAGGTTTTCGAACTCAACTAGGGAGATGAAAAGCTATCCAAGACCCTATTTCAGAAATTCATAGCATATTCCTTAGGAACCACCCCCCTACCACCTTCCTACCTCTCACCCACTCACCCCACCACCACTGCCAACATCATACTTGGAAACTTAAGGAAGATATCTTCAAAATGGCAAAATTAAGCCTAGGAGAACCAAACAACATGAACAAAGTTGAAGAAACAAGAGAAAAGAGACTATACAAACAATCACTTTAAAATAAATATTCTTGGTATAATGCTGAAGAATACGAACTGATTTATAATTTGTGCCCATCAGATCAATGTAAATTCAAAGGATAAGAGCAGTTAAAACTGGAAATGGATCACCCTAAAGTTATTATACCAACCTGTAAAGAATAATTACAAAAATACTGTCCAAGTGCCTAATATGTAGTAGATACTGTGCTAAGTTCTTTCTACTCAGCAAGAGCTAAGGAGAAGCATGAGACGTCTGGATGTATGATGGGAGATTAGTAAAAGCTCAAACCATAAAGGATTGCCCAGAGTCTTGGGGGAAATGTCCAAAACTCTCAAGGCACCAGTGAAAGGATGCATGTTTGCTCCTCTCAAAAGCACAACTGACTAAGCTTGCTACTCCCATCCATAAGAGGTCAATTAAGCCTAGGACCAAACGCTCACCGCTGTTTTTATACCACTAATAGCCAGACATCAACATATTAAATGCATAATTCAACTAAAGCAGAAAAACCACTGTTTTGGAAACAGTGGGCAGCTAGTACAGATTGTGTCGCACAGGTGTGATGTGCTCCATATGGCTCACTTCTGAGCAGGCAGACGCTCCAATCTGTCCTCACTACAGTCTTGCCAAGGTCTTTCCAGGCTTCTTGCACTGACACATCTTACTGGAACTCTGTCCTCCTGCCAACAACATTACCCATTTATGGTGACGAGGTCAACCCCCAGAAAACCTAGGACAGGACTATTTTCTAGCCTTCTACTACTGTACAATCTATTCGTAGTCACTGCTGTTAATTAGATATTTACACTTAGTCTCAATCCAGGCAATAAGGCTGGTGAAGAGAACTACTTTCGCCAGAGCTTCAAAAGGTTTTGCTGCCCAGCAATAGAAAGACAATAAGGGAAGGGGGAGACATTTGGGCAAACCATGGCAAAACCATCCTACTACAGCCAGACGCCAAGCTCTCTCTAGGGCCTAAAGCATCTGAAGAGAACTAAGCATCAAGACCTAAGCCTTATTCCCAAGAACTGCTCTCGTAATGAAACCTCTCAACTTCCTCAAAGACCTTCGAGAACTTCCTTCTGCGCTAGTCCTCAAATTCTTTCAGTTTCTAGCTTTTTTCCTCTCCCACTTGATAAAAGAAAAATAAACTCTGACACAATAATGGGCATTAAGTGAAGCATGCTAACACTGCAACCAGGAGCTTTTTATTTTTCTAAGTGGTTGAGGCTTTTCATATTTTTCTAAATTAGAGAAAAATATATCTATTTACCTCAATCATGATAATAAATTCAGGCAGACACATCCTCATTTTATCACCTACCTATGCTTCCCCCATATGAGAAGATATACCCTATTCTCCCCAATTTTATTCCTTGCATCTGAAAAAATCATAATGAATCATTGACAACATAGTTTGAACAGGCTTAGTACCTGACCATATTCCCAATCATCCCTCAGGTTTTAATTTTCCCAATGCTTAAGTGTCAGTCTGCTGGACAAAAACCTTCATGTTGTTAAATTCCACTTTGTTGTGGGCACCTAGGGGATTCTAGGTAATAAGTTAAATACTAACAGAGATAGACGGAGTGGCAAATTGAGGTAGTCTTGCTGAAAATCCCAGAGTCCTCATCAAAATTTAAACAGAAGTCAAACCTTCAATATACCCTGTGGTGTCTTTTTTGAGGAACATTTTCTTTTCTGCCCTATAAAATTTCCTACATGTCTACCTCCTTCATTCCAAATAACACTTTATCCCTTTTGCTTCACGGACAGGACAGAGCAAGATGCCCATTGAAGTAGGCTTGTGGATCTATATAAACTAAAATACCTGTCTTGTCTACCAAGCAAATGTCGAAAGCCTACTTAATAGATCTACTCCCACCACCACCGATAAAAACAACCCCTTTTCCCATGAAATTGCCATCAACAGTCCATGAATCACTTGGTTCCCTTGAGTTGCTGCTGGATATTTTAACTCCAAATGACGCATCACTTTGCAGTGAAGCAACTGAAGCATGACTTGAACCTAAAGCACTAAATGAGAAAGGACAGCAGGAGACAGTGAGGTCCTGGAGAATGGGCACTGTTTGCAGTCTGCTTTGTATTTTCTAGAGTTTCTAGCTCAGTGTTGTATACATAAATAGCCCTCAATTGATGTTCATAGAATTGAACTCAAGATAAGTGAGCAAGTTCACCATCACCGTAAAGGAAAAGAGAGGCTCATCCCCTAATTAACACTTTTTATTCCTTCCTGTCACCATCTACCCTCCTGCCTCATCTCTGGCTACTCCCAATACTGGTCCTGAAACAGCCATGAAGCGGGGATAAACTAAAAATAATGCATAAAAATATGTTTTTAAACTGAAATGCCATATAGTTAGTATGTGCTTTCTGTACCTATCTCTATAGTTCGATGTATTCTCTGTCCCCTAAATATTTATTGGTAACGTTAATTATTAGCACCAAGGAAATCCTATTTCTTATTCTTAAACTACACAGTTCTTTGGATTTCTAAATCATCGTCATTACTGAGACCACCACTACTTGTACTCTGTGCTGCTCATTTCTAAGATGGACACGACACAAAAGGAAAGCACTGCTAGTCTCCTGACTTCTTCATTGTCAGTACATCCTACAAGTCACCAACAGCATTTAAATTCAACAGAGAACAACTTTTCAATCAGCTTAAGCTTCCCTTTCGGGTCTCTTAGTTTCACCCAGTAACATTCTTACCTAAAAAAGTCTTAAAATCCAAGAGCTAGAAGTACTTACCTTGCTTCTATGCCTAGTACATAGTATTTAAAAGTGTTTTTGAATGGAAATGAATTATGAAGAGCCTGCAGCAGGGTCTGGATCACTCTGGATATCAGCACTGTATATTGACAAAACTAATTAGGCAGTCCTTGTTTTCAGGGGCCAGTAAAATTTCCACGAGCTTCCCTGTCACATATATATTCAAGTCACTGCTCAAACCACCAACTCCACAATACTCCAGCACCCCCCAGAGTAGCCTCCTCACCTGTCTGACTCTCATCTCAAGATCCACAGCTATGTAGCTAACTCTAACCAAGACATAATCAGGTCTCCACTTGACCCAGCCCTGGGCATGCCCTCCTGCATCCAGTAAGTTCTAGCTTTGCTCCTCCGCACACTCTCATACATCTTTATCTCTTCTAGACAGACTTCTTGGTAGGACCTCTCTGCTCATAAAGACTGCTAATTCTCACCTTCTTGAACATCCTCACAGCCACTATCTTGGGTCAAGCCTTCATTGTCTATTGCCTGAATATCATAATAGCCTGCTAATAGCTCCCGCCAGCTCTAGTCTTATTGATCTCCAATCCATCTTCCACAGTAATCTTTGCCAGAGTAATCTTTCCAAAATAAAAATCTGATTGTGTTATTTTGCTGCTTAAAATCCATTGATCCAAAATAGAGTATACACTCCTTAGAAATGACAAAAAGGCCTTCAACATTTCCAGCCTTATCTCCAGTCATCCACCACCAGTCACATACCCCAGTGTTCCAGAAAAACCAACCTGCTTGCCATTTCTCCAATGACCGTGCTCACTCAGGCCCCATGCCTTTGCCAGGCTCTTCCCTCTACCTGATTTGCCCTACTCATCTTTCAAGATAAACCTTAGACTAAGTTAATGATCCCTCCCATAGCACCCTGTACTTCCTCATTGTGACACTTATCACAGTTAAGTGTAATTGCTTATCATTATTCTGTCTCCTCTCCTAACCTATAAGCTTCATTAGGGGAGAGACCATATTTGTTTTGCTCATCACTGTATCACTAGTACTGGTACATTATCTGGCACACAGTAGGAATTCAATAAATATTTGAATGACTATTAGTAATAATAATAATAGTAATGACAGCTAATACTTATTCAGTACTTACTGTGTGCCAGGTACTGTTCTAAGTATTATACACGTGTTAATTCATTTAATTCTCATGATAATCCTAACTATTATTATCTCCACTTTACAAATAAAGAAATTGTGACACAAAGATGTTAAATAACATGTCCAAGGTTATACAGCCATTAAGTGACAAAGTCAGGACCTGAATTCAGACAGTGAATTCCAGAGCTTACGTTCTTAACCTCTCCGCCATACTGCCCCTCCCTTTTATATGATTCAGTTCAAATGTCACCTTCTGTGGAAGCCTTCCCTTACCATCCAATTGGAGTTAGACGTTTCTCTTCTGTATCCCATGACACTCCATATACAGCTTCATCATAGCATTTATCACACTGCACTATACGACTTGGTGTCTATTTCCATTATTCCGTGAGTTCCTTGAGGACAGGGACTTTGACCTAGTCTTATTTTTCTTGGTGTTGTCAGTGCCTAGCACCTGGTAAATACTCAAATAACTTTTATGGAAGGATGGATGGATGGATGGATTGATGGATGGATGGATGGATGACCTGAGCTGGAGCATAAGCATTCATATTCAGATAATCCAGCAGGTGGCAGAAGAAGACCAAGCGAACAGAGGATGGGCTGCCTTACCTTTCACACTGGTCTCTTTCTTCATGATGGTTTCCTGATCTTGGCACAGAGTCACTGTCACTGTGGCTCCAGATATGCCATAGCCCCAAATCACTGCCCCTGCAGGCTCCTTCTGCAGCACCATGTGATTATGGACGTACGACGCAAAGCGAAAATCAGCACCTAAAAAATTTAGCAAACACTTAGAAGAGCATCATTGGAAAGATTCATCACGGATTGAATCTGGCTAAATAGCAAGGAACAGAGAGTCTTTATACAAGAGAATTTGAATAACCAGTCCTTTTAATCTTCCAAAACTAGATCTTGTTACTCCTAATTAAGTAAGCAGCATAACAAGAACAGTTTCCAACAATATGCATCATAGTACAAGATGACAAATAAGGAAAACTCAAAGAGCCTGGGACAACCAATGTGTCACAAGCCTCCTCCCCTTCAGAGCTCTTAACCTTCCTTTGCTTTCAGGCTTGGCCCTAACGTTTAACTCTTTCCCCCAAGTCACCAAACTATTCCTATTTTGCACCCCACAGATAGTTATATAGCCATTAAGTGACAGCCATTAAGTGATTTATGAGAAAAATAAACCACTTCCTTCCCCTACTTTCCATTACCACACCCACTCCTCATAGCTGGGAATAAAGAAGCCTGCCTCTCTCCAACACAGCCTTCTCTAATCTTTTCCCCACTCTCTATCTCCCCCTTTCCTTCCTACCAGTGTCCATGTCCCTCAAATAATCCCCTTTATTGTGGGTTTTTGACAACCCACCAAAAATTCTAAATGAGCATTTATGAATATCTGCAACATCTGCTTCCTTCTAAGGTAAATTCAGATAAACTAAGATGCAAAAAGTGAGGTCGGTGAGAGAGAGAAGGTCAAAATGTCTGAACAAAGGTCTTTCATTGCAATTTTACCCATTTCACAAGCTAAATTATACAAAAAGAACAAGAGGAAGACCACTTGAAACTATGGATTCTATTCTAAAGAGTCACTAACAAGACTGAATAAGAACTTACTTTAACAAGATCATTCCTATTTTTAACATCCAGCCTATATCGAAGTATTTTATTAATAACAAGCATCTATCCAAATTATCTCAGTAAGTTCCTCATCAAAACTTAACAAAGAAAAAAAAAAGCTTCTTAAGTTACGTCCCAATTTGTCTGAACAAAACAGACAAAAATCCCTAGAAGAAAATAATTAACAAAATTAAGATTTTTTAAGGGTTTTAAACAAAAATGACAGGCAGGAAAGAGAATTAGAACTAACAAGGTTGACATTTTCCTCTCTGGAAGCTACGAATGATGACAGCCCCTTAGGCTATAGTTAACATGGCAGCATAGCTAATGGGATCTCCTACACAGAGTCAGTGGCCTATCTGTACTACGCTTCAAATAACAGCCCAGTCCCTAAACATCCTCAGCTCTCTCTTATGAGTTAGTTCCATCATAAAACCTACATGACAATCAAGGATCATCCAGAAGGCCCACAGGGCTGGAGATGCACAGCTACCACGAGCAAAACGCTCTAAGAAGAGACTACAACACCCCAGGATTGCATAAGCACATTGGCAGCCTGCTGGAGGGAAGGGGAGAGGCACATGTGTGGGAGGGCCTAGTCTTGGGTAGGTGCTTCATATGGAATAAAAACTGAAAACCAAAGGCCTAAGAGCTAAGCAGAGGGAGGTCAGGGTGGCAGAATGGAGTGAAAAAAACTGGCTGCCGCTTGCATATGAGCTGGTGCATGCAAGGGGCTCCAAGAGATGTGTGCAGCCACTGTTTCATAGGCTTGGGGAAATACCTTTCCAAGTCAGTTTGTTTTCACCAACACACATCTACTGAAACTCCTCTGCATGGCTCTATTCTGAGTTAAAGAATTTTAGAGGTGGAAAGGATCTTTCACACCCTGGGGTATAATCATGTTATTTACTGATCAACAGACTGAGATCCAAGGAGATTAGGTAATTTTTTAAAATAGCTTACATATCAATTAATCAATTCAACAAATATTTATTAGTAGATATATGTATTATTTGTTGATAAATATTTATTTGTTGCCTACCATGTGCCAGGCACCATTTTAAGCACTGAGGATATAACAGTGAAAGAAAAAAAAGACAAAAATCCTTGCCAGCAGGGAGCTTACATTCTACTGGGGAACTTACTTGTGGGGCACAGTGTTAAACACACTGCAGACATTAAATTTCTTTGACTGGTCTCAAATTACATAGGTAGTTTATGACAGGACTAGAAACCATGTCACCTGATTCCAAACTTACTGCAATTTCCACTCTGTGGCAGCTAGATACTGGTGGTAAATCAAAGAAAAATCATATTCCCTGTCCTTAAAAAGCTCACGTTCCAAGCTGATAAGAGTAGACAGTGGAACACTACCAAGGAATTGAGCAATGCACAAAACAGGAGAACAAGAAAGGAGGCGGGACCGGTCATTGTTTTTGTCAAACACAAGACTCAACATTTAAATTTTTTTTTAGGTCTTCAATTTTTCCTTCATTTGGGTGTTGGGGTAGACAAACAGGAATTAGTGTTCTGGGGACGTTCAAAGTCGTCATTAAAAGTAGACTGACAATCAACAACAACAAAACTACCAACCCAATTAAAAAATGGGCAAAAGACCTGAACAGACATTTCTCCAAAGAAGATATACAGATGGCCAACAGACACATGAAAAGATGTTCAAAATCACTAACTATCAGGGAAATGCAAATCAAAACTACAATGAGATATCACCTCACGCCCGTCAGAATGGCTATAATTAACAAGACAGGAAACAACATGTGTTGGAGAGGATGTGGAGAGAAGGGAACTCTCATACACTGCTGGTGGGAGTGCAAACTGGTGCAGCCACTATGGAAAACAGTATGGAGAGTCCTCAAAAAAGCAAGGATAGAACTACCATATGATCCAGCTATTCCACTGTTGGGTATTTATCCAAAGAACTTGAAAACACCAATTTGCAAAGGTACATGCACCCATGTGTTCATTGCAGCGTTATTCACAATAGCCAAGACTTGGAAGCAACCTAAGTGCCCATCAAGGGATGAATGGATAAAGAAGATGTGGTATATATACACAATGGAATACTACTCAGCCATAAGAAACGATGAAATCCAGCCATTTGTGACAACGTGGATGGACATTGAGGGTATAATGCAAAGTGAAATAAGTCAGAGGGAGAAGGTCAAATACCGTATGATTTCCTTCATTAAGTAGTAGATAATAACAACAATAAACAAGCACATAGGGACAGAGATTGGATTGGTGGTTACCAGAGGGGAAGGGGGGAGCGAGGAGGGTGAAAGGGATAATTCGGTACATATGTGTGGTGATGGGTTGTAATTAGTATTTTGGTGGTGAACATGATGTAATCTATGCAGAAATAGAAGTACAATGATGTACACCTGAAATTTTTACAATGTTATAAACCAATGTTACTGCAATAAACAAAAAATTAAAAAAAAAAAAAAAAAAGTAGACTGACAAAATTAGAACAGTGGTTACCTCTGGTGAGGAACTAGTGGGTGCATTAGGGAGGAAAATCCAATAAAACTGGTAATGGTCTAGTTAAGTTGGGTGGAGCGCCCATGGGTGTTCATTCGATTGTTTCATTGCTACATATATATTTGCACTTTTCAAATATTACGTGATAAACATGAGCACAGAACGGATCATTTGAAGGGAAGATGTCAGGATATGCAACCAAATAAGAAGGAAGGAAAATTTAGAGCACTAATGAATGAAAAATATACTTAATGTTCATGAAGGTGATGTAACGGTACGACCCAAAGTCAAAGATAAAATATTGATATTAAAGTTAGCCTTTAACAGAAAAACTAATAAAATTATGGCCCTACTCTCCTCTCTACCTTCTCCCCACCTCATAGGCTTGACTCAAAGGTCACTGAGTGGGGATGAGAGTCAGGAAATGACATGCAGAGTGCTGCTAGTTTACACTTCTGTTAAACCCTGAAAAACCACTTATGGGCTGCAGTTTGTCTGAATCTGGGTACTTTTTGGGTTCTTAGGTAGAGCAGCAGCCATTTTTCTGCACTCTGTCCATTCTCCACCTCAACTTTCATTTCTTAACAGGGATCTTTGGGGTCCACTATTCGAGTGGTTTGAGGGGAAAAAACGGGTCCAGCCTTATCACTTTACTTTTCATTAGCAGACAGATTCTGTCTTCTGGTTTCTCCATGGTTGTTTCTCAGTGTCCAGCCTCGGGTCAAATGACAGGATCTGACCTGGACAACAGTGAAAATGAGTCACCCTCCTCCCCAGTGCTACCCATATTTTCCCAACACCAAAGCTGTAAGCTGCACCAGAAATCAAAGCTGAGCCTTAAATATTCTGAACTAGTGAGGGAGTTGCATTTCTTAGCCCTAATCACCACTTAAACTAGTAAAATTTAATTCCCCCAAGGAGCCCAGCCTGAAGCAAACCTCCCCAAGGGTACCCTGAGGGGGCAGAACTGAAATGTTTCGGATGATTCAGCCACCTGTTTCCAAATAGTATCTAGCTAGCTTCGCCCCCTACCCGTCGGGTTCCCCTGCAGAGACCCTGAGGGTCTCGGTCTGCGCACATTTGGGCCTCCCCACTCGGATAAACCGAACTCTCCCGCTGCACCATAACGACGGTGGAAGGGAGTGGAGGAAGCAGATGGCCCGGATCTCCCGCCCAGCTGACACCTGCAGCCCAGGCCTGCAGCGGAGAACCTGGCACCGAGCCGGGGTTCCTTCCCCCACCTTGAGAGGGGAGCGCGGAGCTCGGAGCCCGCGCAGGCTGACGGGCAGGGGTCGAACCAGGCCGCCTCACCTGCACTTGTGTCGGCCCGCAGGATTAATAGCAGCACCAACCCAAATACAAATCCCGGTGCGAGCATGTTGGCGAGGATCCGCCACTCCTGCACGGGAGTCGGGCGTCGGGACTCGGGACTCGGACTCTAGGCAGGGGCAGGGCCGGGGAGGCCTGACTCCACCCTCTCAGGCCGTTCGGTCCGCGAAGCTGCCCGCGGCCGCCGGGGGAGGCAGTGCCTCTCCCCTTCTCGGCCGCCGTAGTAGATTTAAAAAAAAAAAAAACGGTTACCCAGCAACGAGAAAAACAACGGCAACCATCGGCACCAGCTCTCAGAGAACCAAGAGGTGAGGCGGTTTACCCCACTTCCTCTCCAAAACTGAGACCTCGCCTTTTCCTTTCGCTTCTCGTATTCTCTCTCTCGTATTCTCGTATTCTCTCGGAATCCCGGACGCATTCCGGGAACCCTAGGGCAGACAGACAGCGAGGCTGCCCATTCTCCGAGAGTCTGACATCCCAGATCCTCGACGCGCCGCACCCCCGCCAGGCCTGTGTTCCCCCTCTGACCGCCCTCTGCCCCCTAGATTGGTTCAGGGTCTCACCAGGCCTTTTCTCAACCCTGGAATGATTCGATACCTCATCTCCTGTTCCTTCGACAAAGAAAAGAAGTCCTCCACAGATTGGGCCTCATTAACCCGTCTAGCCCCCCACCTCGACCCCTACCACGGCTTCCAGCCGTGTTTGGCGTTGACACCCTCACGTACAACCAGGCGAGGTCCCTGAGTGTCGTTTGCATACGCAGTAGCCCAACCCGCTGCTTGGCAGCTATCCTTAATCCAGCCCTTGTATTCCAAGACAGGAAGAGAAGACCTGGTCAAGACAACACCAGAAAATATAAGAATCCTAAAATTTTGGAGACTGGTATTGCAAAATCGTGACCCTGCCCTCCCGCCTGCAGCCCCGCTGCCCCTTCCAAAGTGTGTGATGTGTTTTGAGGCATCATAGGTCATGCTTCAGAAGTGGAAGCTCAGGGAAAGACTAAGTGTGAAACTTCTTCAACAAATTAATTTCTAGAACCAGGAGTAAAACAATTTTTTTTTTAATTTTAGACCCTAAACAGGGTCTTCTTGGCAATTTATGATGAATTTTTAACAATTATTTTCTCTAAATTCCTGTGGGATAACAAAAATTACCCTCACCTTTTAAAGACAGAAAGAAGAGGGACAGAGAGAAAAAGTACTAGTGTTATAGTGAAAAAATCTGTGATTTTTCTAAGTTTTGAAAATGATTTGGCCTATTAAATGGGTCTATATTTGTAATATTGTAACTAATGGAGAATTCAAAACTCTTTGGAAGAAATGGATGGACTTGGGTTGTGTTGGGGAACAAAGAATTGAAGTTCAGAAAATTTGTCTCAGAAATAATTGTTGTCATAGTTGTGATTATCTAAGTAAAATCAGACAAACTTAAAGACAGTACTCTTTAATGAATCTCTAGGCACAATAGGCAGTTCCTTCCAAGGAGATGTCGATTCCATTCTCCAACACCAACTACCGAATTCCACAAGGATTTGGAAATCTTCTTGAAGGGCTGACACGCGAGATTCTGAGGGAGCAACCGGACAATATACCAGCTTTTGCAGCAGCATATTTTGAGAATCTTCTAGAGATAAGAGAGAGTAAGCTTTTTAAAAATAGGCATTCTAAAAAAAAAAATAAGAGACTAAGCGTTTGGTTATGGTGAAACTTGCTTAAGACTACTCCTATTCCACAGAAAGCCTTTATGAGGCAGGTAGCTTCAAATAACAGTTGTTGCTATTTGAAACAACATGTGACTTTTTGACAGGTTCTCTTAAATCACATTATTGAAAATTACCAGTTTATTACCCAGATGTTCCTCATTGTATTCCTCATGGACACACTGGGTGGAAGGGGACCTCAAGAGATCATCCAGTCTAGCTCTTCATTTTCTAGCAGGCTCTTCTGTGTATCTCAGGCAGTTGACTGTGTGTTCTTTCTAGGAGGAGAGTTTGTGGTTTTCTTTACATTTTGATTCTTCTTACTTGAAAGTATTATAAGTGTTGTAAAAAATAATTCTACACTCCTTAGATTAAATAAATTGGTATTCGCTGGGAGATATGAAACTGTTCTGCAATAAAGGCATAGAGAAAAACTGCTTTGAAAAGTGAACTTCCAGCTTGGGAAGGTAATTTATATTCTTTCTCTATGCTCCCAAGGTCGCATCCTGCCCAGAGACTAAGATTCATGCTAACAGTGACTCTTTGGTTGAGAGCCAAAGCAGAGTTTCTTCACTTTCATAAATAAAATTTCCAAATCTCCAACCTTGAAGGTTCATGGCTATCAAGACCTGACCCAATGGTCAAAATTGGAATTATTACAGCTATAAGTATCTACTAAAAACCCATTCTTGACTAGAACAACCATTTTGTATAAGCTGTTATCATCATTACTTTTGATTACAATATTCCAGCAGAGGGGTAAAGGTGACTGAAAATAGCCACATTCCATTTTAAATCATTTTACAAAGGGAAGAAACCTACTGTAAGGCTTGAATTGAAACAACTCCCAAACACACTGCACAGCTCCACCCCCTTGCCTTCTTTGCCCTACCCCGGCAAAGCTCAAAATCTGCCAATTTCCAGAATGTTGCTGGTCTTTTCCGGATTCAGTCAGTGTGAATATTTGTTGTACAATGTGAAACTTAAGTGCCACTAAAAAACTATTAAGAGAAATCCTTTAGGGTAAGAGGTAAATTGTAATGAACCTTAATTTAATTTTGTTATTATAACATTAATTTTGCAAATTTATGCAGTAAAACATCTGTAGTCATTTACTTAATTTTAGCCCTCAGAAACATCCCATTACAAAAACATATGAATCGTCGTTACTGGATCATGATAATTAAAGCAATTGGTGATTCAGATTAATGGTCTCAGAATACTAGCTCTCTAACTGATAAAAAATGGGTAAAACTATTTGAAAAAATTTTAAGCATCACACCCATTTCCACTCATGTAAACCAAAGGTGAATTATCTAACTGATACAAGTATCAGAATTTAGTCTCTCCAAAAGGGAAGAAAAAAGTCCTCTAGCCCAGTTTCTCACACAATATGAGAATTTCCTTGCCAGCATTCTTCATAGGTAATTACCAGTCTTAATTTTGGTTTTTGTAACAGGAAATGTGTTAGTATATGATAAAGGTGGCATCTCAAATCAGTAGGGAAAAAGTGGGCTTTTTATTAAATGATGTTAGGGTAAAGATGGAAAAAGACAAAATTGGGTCTGTTCCTTACATCATACACTAGGATAAGTTCCCAATTGATTGGAGATTTAAATGTTTTTTAAATGAAATTATACAAATGCTAGAAGAAAACATGGATGAGTTTCTCTATAACATAAAAGAGGAAAAAATTTTGGCTAAGTTGCTATAATTGTTTTAAAAGTCCACAAGCAATTAGGGAAAAGATTGATAAAATTGACCACATAAAAGTAAACTTTCACATGGCAAAAATCACCATAGGGAAAATAAAGCTACAAATAACAAACTGAGAAAAAATATTTGCAATTTATATCACAACTGGTTAATAAACCTAATAAATAAAGAGCTTGTAACAACAGTGAAGAAAAAATCAACAACCCTATATAAAAAATGGGCAAGAGATATGAGCAAACAATTCACACAAAAGTAAATTCAAATGGCACTTAACATATGAAAGCATACTCAAACTAACCCATAGTAACAGAAGACCATATCAAAACCACACTGAGATACCACCACCCACCACCACCATCCTCCCCCATCAGATTGGCAAAAAGCCAAAAATTTGCAAATTTATTTTAGGCAAGGCTAGAGAAGAAATAAGCACTCATGAAGGTTGCTGGAGGAGGCACAAAATGATACAACCCCAAGAAAGGGAACTTGGCAATATCTGCCAAAATTATATATGTATTTAACCTTTGACCCAGAAGTTCCACTTCTTCACTTTTCATTGCATCGTTATTTGAGGCAACAACCCAAATATCCATCATAGGGGATTTTTTGAATAAACTAGAGTACATCCACATAATGGAATGATATGCAGCTGTAAAGAAAGAATGAGGAGGAAGATCTCTATATGATGCTATGGAGTGATCTTCAGGATATATTAAGTGAAAAAACTAAGGTGGAAAAAAGTGTGTTTAGTATGCTACCAATTATCTAACAAAGGGGTATTGATATGAATACATAACTGTCCATTTATATTTTTTAAATGGAAGAATAAATCTTTAAAAATTTTACATTTACCTCTAGGGGGAGAAGGAACAGAGTGGAGGGAATGGGATAGAAGCTAGACTTCTCTGAATATATCCTGAATTCAAAATCATAAATGCTTAACATAGTTATAAAATGGAATTAAATTTAAAAATTAAGTGATTTCTAAAATTTAGAAGGAAAGTGAAACAAATGAACCCTCTAGTATTGAATGGGTAGCATAACTACACAGAAAGGGATTATTTGAAGTGACTTCATAACACAGTAATTTGACTGTATATCACTGGTGGACATAGCCTGAAAACAAAATGAAGTAAAAAAAATTCTTAAATTGTTTTCAGTAGTCATTGTTAATAATAGTATCGTATAGTTATTTTGAAATTATTTTTTATATATTGTAGGACATAGCAAATAACTAACTATCCTACTGTCATTAGGAATAAGATTTTTAATGTAAGAAAAATAACATACAAATACAAAAATGAAAGAAGTTAATAAAATCCTGTAATCCTAAATTCAAATTGGAAAATATCAGTGTGTCCTCATGATATATTTTCTCTTTAAAAAATGAAAAGTATTTTCTAGCTCTACACATTTTTTAAAAGCCCTCAAAATAATGACCAACCCGGTACCAGTGAACACCTAGCCCTAGACTGTGGCCTCTAACCACCTTTTCCCAGGAACCAGAGCTTCTTGGAGAACTCGCTAATTCCATGACCTGGGCAGGAAATATGCAAGAGAAGCCTGAACATCTTGCCATCCCAGAAAATAAGGAAACTATTAAATATTACTGGAGTTGTTTCCAAAGGACTCAGGAGCA